GCAAATGTGGTCATAGAAAAGGCAGAGAAAACACAGGGCACGTGTTGGTGTTGAACCAGCAACCAAGCTATCAGCCCTCCAGAACTTTGCTTTTACTCCTCACTTCTCCAGGTCCCCATTCCTCACTTCCACACCTTTATAAGTAGATCACAGAGGTGGCCTTCTCAGGGGACCACACACTATTTTATGGAGTCCAGCAGAAGAGGGCCTGGTGATACTGGAACAATGGTCAGGGAATGGACTAAGTAAAGAATACAGTGTCTCTCTGTTCTGCTGTGAAACTTTTTAGCAAATAGTTAATATCAGTGTCAGAATGAACAGCCCTGAGATCTGAAACATCTACTAAGAAAGGCCACATTTCAGAACTATGTGGTCCCAGTGTTAATGCTTCTTTAAAGTCACTGAAAACGGGCCATCATAAAGTCCTCCCTCCTATGCTTTGGGGTAGAGAAGGTGAGGTGGTAATATTGGGGAGAGCTCTCTCTCTGTCTTTTAAACAGGAACAAGTAAAATATTCCCACTTATAGAATTTCAAAATCAAAACCGACTGCAAAATAGTCAGGTCTGCTTCATGCTTCTCCTTTTGGCTGTCCTGTGTCCATGGAGGCTTAATATAACAGACCAGACAATTTTCCCAGGCTTCTGTGGTCACCCTAACTGCTGTTCTGCCCCTGGAAACATTTTGAAGTGCCTTTTCCAGATTTCTGTGAGATTTGTGGTAGTGAAGATTCCCCCAGACTCTCCTCCCAACCAGAAGCTTGCTCAGCCCCAACAGTGTTCGTCAGAAGTCAGATAAATGATTCACAGAAAGTGGTGGGAACCGTTTTCAGTGCTCAGGATTTCTAAATTTGCTTTTCTAATTAACTGTCTTAGACTGAGATGTAATCTGCACTAATTGAAAACATTTCTTGAAAATTCAGATATGTACAACACATAAGCCTCCGGCAGCCCTGCTGCCCTGAGGTACCATCACGCATATGTTACCATAAAGAAAAGTTAGGACCACAATCTATGATTTGCCTCCTGCCTCTCCCCTCTTACTGTACAGAGCATGAGGAATGTTTGCATTTGTTTGCTTTTGCAGGGCTGGGAGTTGAACCCAGTGCTTCATGCACTCAACGCAGATGCTCTGTCCCTAAGCCCGGTTCCCAGCCCTGGCGGTTGTTCGTAGTTTTCAGTATTAGGAACGTGAGTGCTCATGGAAACTAGACTGCCCTTGTATAGGTATGCTATTGATCTGGTTCTTGCTCCCTCTGTTGCTGGCCATCTAGCTACACACTGTTCTCTATCATGTAAGTGCTGGTCTGAACATCTTATCTGAAAGCTGTGCCAGGCTCTTTGACACCTTTGAATGATTTTCTAGAAATTAAATGACTGAGTCAACACTTGTCATTTTTTAAGATTTTGGTACTTAATTTCAAAATGTCCTTCCAAGAGGAGGAACCAGTCACATAAATTCTCCAGCAGGCTATGAACATGCTTTCTCTACCTCACTAGTACTGGAAAACATGTGTCTGGTGTGCTCATGCTCACAAAAGCTTCTGTGTGTCACTGATTCCATCCTCATCCTCTTGGTTACCAATAAAATAGAGGTATTTTCTACTGTTTTATATTTTTATTTTATGAAATGTCTATCAATCATTTTCACATTTTGTAATACTAGGCCTTTTTAAATTGATTGAGCGTAGTTTCTTTTTAATTAAGAATTGTAGCCCTTTGCTATCACTAATCAGTATAGATCGTTACAGATAATCAGACTGGATTTTCCATGTAGACATTAGTGATATTTGGAATGTTTGTTGATACTAGCAATATTAGTAATGTATTTTAAATTTTGAGAAAGAAATTGCTCTTTTGCCTCTGATTAAAAAAAAGATACATGAAAGAGAATCTGACAGTGTCAATCCAGCGTGGGTGAGTATCCCAGGCCACCACCAGCATTTTATTACAGTTGTCAGGGAAAAAAAAAAAACAACAATTTTATTGTTTTGATTATTGAGACCCAGCCACAGATCAACTGAGCAATTAAAATCTCTAAATAACACTCTCTGCATTGTCAAACAAAGGGCCGGCTCCCGGTGGAAGGGGTTTTTCTGAAGAAGAGCAGTTTCTTTAATGCCTGTGCCAGTAAATGGCTGCACTAATTGGAATATACAGAAATATTTCCCCAGTTTAACATCGCATGACACCCTAATAAGATTGTGATGACAAGCTTTTTCTTTTTATGAAAGGTGATGCTACCGTGTGCCTCTGCTGTACACAGGCTTGTGTCTTTTTATGGCATGTTATAAATGAAAAAATTTAGAAGAAAATAATCTGCTCTAAATCTTCTCTGAGTATGAGATCAGTTTTTGAAAGCTGGACAGCAGAATCCTGATTTCTGTTTTTATTGGCAATTCCTGCTATAATATATATTTTCAGAATCTTGGATTTGACTAGAAAGGGATCACAATTAAATGCATATTGAAGTGCCCAGCCTAAATCCATTAATTTACACTGGGATGTGAGGCCAGATTCCACCGAGTCTCCTAGCTCAGGTGGCCGGCTAAGAGCAAGCTTGGGACAGTTAATGACAGTCTTCCAAGACAAGTAGAACTTAACATCAATATCCCTCCCCCTGGTAATCTATGGGCCCTGGAGGTGGCACGCTCTGTGGGGTTTTGATGATTTCATGATGGCTTGTGTATATTTACAGTGTGTTTAAAATACTCTTTTTAATTATCATTTGAGTGACAAAGCTTAATCTTTTGGATCGTTATCTGCACCTCCTGGTGATGTATGTTTGTTAGGTAGCTCCAAAGAGGAAATTTAGCAAAGCCGGGGCTTTATGCCAGTAATAAGAACAGGGAGTCAATAGATGATTAACCTGCCTTTCTCCTCTTCCCGAGAATAAAGGAGTCACTTTAGAAAATCTTTACAGGTGGCCCAGATTTCTCAGAGCAGCGCCCTTGAAACATGCGAGGGCTAAGCAAAAATGAGCAGTGATTGAATTCCACAAAGCAAGTGCATACGGGAGAGAATAGCCAAAAGCGTTTGAGTGTTCTTCCAGCACACCAACAACATAATCCCCCCCCCCAAAAAAAAAAAAAAAAAAAAAAACCAGCCAGACAGCTTGTCCTTTCCATTTTCTATGCATATGTAGTTCTACATAACACATTTGTGCCTATAAACGTGTGCATGTTAAAAAGACACGTGCTTGCATATGTCTGACTGTGTTTATGTATGTGTGTGTTACACATACGTGTTGGTGTGCAGCCACATTGTATAGGCATGGATTGGGTATGTGTGCATTACTACTTGAAATTAAGTGACCTGTATCACTGGGCACTGAAGCCTGTTAGGTTCTAGGAACTAAATAAGCAGAAAATGCCTTTAAATACTTCCTTCTCTCCTGTTGTCTTATTTGAAAGAGAGTGAAGGCCAGGATTATTATTCCTTACTGCAGAGTTATAAATTGGGAGGATTTAGAATTGAACTATTGAGACCCTTGCTTGATTTTCCTGACTGAGGCATAGCCACCAGTCTCTGTTGAAAGTACTTATTTCTTAGAGTCGCCAGTGAGATGTAAAACAGAGGAAAATGACTTTGGTTAACCAGCCTCTATGATACTTGACATATGGGTTTAACTGATCATCTTCAACGATCCTGGCCTTAGAATAGAACCCCAGGATCTCTGGGTGTTGTCAGAGAAGTCTTAGAAACCCTGAACTGATTCACAGATTTAATGGGATCTGAAAGCTAATGCTGTATCTGAATAAGATAAGCATTCCTTGGCATTCCTCTGCAGTAGCCTGTGATTTTATTAACAGCTCAGAACTGAAGACCATAAATTCTACTATTGGGCAATATACTGTCCTTGGAAAGGGCGTCCTGACGGCTAAAGTACCTGTGCAGGTGCATTGTGGGATCAGAGGAGGCATTAAAGCCTGCTCAGCCCAGAACCTTTCCCATTCTGGTTTGCAGCTGGTCCTGGACTTTGCTACACATGTATTCATGGGTAAGAAGAAATACTCTGCCCAGCTACCTCTGCACCACGCTATATTTTCTGGAATACTGCTCATATAAATGCTGCTTTGAAGGCTAGGCAGTTAAATAGTACAATATAGAATTTATACAAGGAGTTGAACTAGACTGAAAATTGAACATCCGAGTCCCTCATCCAGGAAGGCAAGTGTTCATGTTTGAAAATAGATCATACACTGAAAGTGGAGGACGGTGTGGTAAAAGCAAACAACAAGGGCACAGTTGCTGAGCGGTTTGGCGTTAGAATACAGCTAGCAAGAGGCCAGCAAGGTCTACTGGCCAGAATGGCAGGCAGGCTGGCTAAGAATCCAGACTGATGGACTTAGGACAAGAAGCTGCAGGACTTAAGAGTTCTGGGTCAGAAGCTGTCAGAAAGCCAAAGTGGAGTGGCTTAACTAGAGAAAGCAGAAACCTCTTTAAGGGGAAACAAGAAGGGAAGGTAGAGACGCTAGGCTACTCCCGAAGGTTTTCATTTGGGTTTTAAGTTGGGCTAATACAGAGAAGCCTTTTACACACTTCTGGGGGTGATATTTTCACTTGACAGATGAAAATTCTAGTTCTCTTTTTAAACTATTTGGTTGAGTTTTAATCCTATTTTAGTTGAAATTATTTTACTTAACTGTAAATCAACTCTACTGAAACTAAAGAGTGAGCCCATTTGCTACTACTGATTATCCTATATCACTATTGAAAATGATTTTGTTGTAAAGAAGAGAGAGAGATGCCAGATCATCTTCTCAGCTGTCAGATCTGGTGGGTACTGGTTAGGCTTTGGAAGTGGGGTAGTACTCAGGCATAGCTCATGCAATGGGAGCCTGCTGAGTTGAACAATGAGAATAAGGTCACAAAGACATCGGGTATATAAGCCAAGATTGATGGTTGGTTCTGAGTTTTCCAGTCAGGTATGCTTCCATCTGCTCAGGGTAGAGCCAGCACAGAAGCAGAAAAAAGAAAATATGTAAGTAAACTTTACTCACCAGGGATTGATACCAAAATGGCCACTGTAAGGAGAGCCAGAGGAGGCACTCAGCAGTACTGTGAGATGGAGGAACTCATGGCACTGGCAAGTTAACTCCAAGACCCTGAATCACAACCACAGAACACAAAGTTACAGAATTATGGAGGAGACACCCTGTCTATAACCAGTTGTAGAGGGCACCTGCTCCTCTGCAGCTCAGTGACTGGGAGGGCCTGGGAATAGGTGCTGAAGCAAAGCAGGGGCCCAGACCTCATTTCTGTCGGAGGCATGTGTGTCCTGCCTAAACTGTATGGCCATTACTCAGGTATGCCAGTTTATGTCATGAAGGAATAGTGGCCCAAATAAGCAGATCTTTTATATTTCAAGGGAAGCCCGAAATTGATATTTTTGAGTAAAATTTCTATACTTTTACAGTTTACTTTTCCTTAACAGCTAATTCATACAGTAAAAAATTAGGAAAGTCAGCAGTGTTTGAGCCAAAATAAATGTGTGTAGGTATATGTGGCCCTGAAGCCACCATTTTGTTACCTCAGGACTAGAGACTTCAAAGCTCCAATTTAAAGGGGCTCCCAGGACCAACCACACCATGGCTTTCTTGCTTTGAGACATTAGAAAAGGCTAATAGTGATCGTACTTCCAGGGTAGAAGCCTCTGGCATATTAAAAGACAATGGCAATGTCACCGAGGTGCTGTGCTACTTACTGGTAATGGCTACCACTGCTGGAACTGGTGACTGGGTAGACTTTGCTTCCTGTAGCAGCTCTGTGATATGCTTACCTATTGATGACGCAACTCTGCAGAATTCTGTGGTTTTCTCAAGTTACTCCACACAGCCAAGACTCCAGGGGAAACCTCCTGTGAGACTTCAGAGCTTCCCCAGGGAGAAAAATCTGCCAATGGTTAGGGAAGCCTCCAAGTCCTACCAAGAGGCCACAGATCCTATCACCTTGGCTCTTAACCAAGGGACCCAGTCACCTCTGTGGTTTCCCCAGCAACACAGGGTAGAATGGGTTCCATAGGTGAGATTTGCTAGCAGTTTGTCCTTCCTGTTGTGCCGTTAGGGAAAGAGGACCAGCTGTGTGCACTTTGGCCTGGAGCGTTTGCGTCACCGTTCTGCTCCTGGAGAAGTATACTTTTGACTTAGGCATTGCTTGCTTAACAGACCACAAAAGTCAACATCCCTCAGCAAGTACAGCCCGTGCTTGGAGGCCACACAGGAGCCAAAGGATCCTGTTAAGGCAGGATGTTCTATGAGACCCACTACTGGAACAAGGCCCCTGTCTCTCAACCATAATGTTAATATTTAAGGGAGCCTCAGAAACTGCCTTTGAGCCAGGAAAAGTTGAGGTTATTGCTACCCCTCACCCCCTGCTTTCCAGGCACAATCTTTATAAAAAGAAAAAAGAAAAAAAATATGCCCCTCAGGGCTGAGGAGATAGCTCAGCCAGTAAAGCACTTGCCACACAAGGAGAAGGACCTGTATTTGTGTCCCCAGCACCTGTATAAAAAGGCAGGGACAGCATTTGTGAAGCAGAGGCAGGCAGATCTCTGTCAAAGGTAGAGATAGGTAGATCCCAAAAACTCATTGGCTAGCTTGCCCAGCAGAACAGAAGAGCTCTAGATTTGGTGAGACAACCTGCCTCAAAAAGTAAAGTGGAGGCTGGGGAATGGTGGCGCACGCCTTTAATTCCAGCACTCAGGAGGCAGAGGCAGGCAGATCTCTCTGAGTTCGAAGCCAGCCTGGTCTAAAAGTGAGTGAGAGATAGCCAGGGCTACACAGAGAAACCCTGTCTCAAACAAACAAAAAGTAAAGAGCAACTGAGGAAGATATCTGTCCTTGAGCTATGGCGAGGCTGCCAGAAGCCAACCTATAGAAGGGAGAGAGATTGTGTGGCTGGAAGATGTCTGCATAGACAGAAAAGTAATCAAGGCCTGTGACTCATGCATGTTCAGGTCTCATAACCTCCCCACAGGAGGCACTTAGATGGTATTTAAGTCTTTCTTCCTTGTATCCCCATTCTGTTTCCCACAACCCCCCTGGTATGTCCCATCTCTTCTTGTCCTCCAGCTCAGTCTGGAGTTGGTTTCTGTGGTTGGCTGAGCTGTTGGTAAGGCACGCAGAAATGAAACAGTCTGACACCCAGTCAGGACACACTCTTGGATAGCTGTGTGGTCCCATGACTGTCTAAATGAGCACAAGCCACATTCAGTCCTGTTCAGCTTTGGCGTCCTTGCCAAAGAAGAGGCAGACTTGAAGCAAAATAACAGACACTATAAATCATTAAATGCCCAAACATTATGAATTGTTTGGAGATGGTGGCATGCATAGGAGTAGCAGGAGGTACCTAATCAGAAGTTCCAAATGAACAGCCTCATGGAACAGATGGGCAAAGTCTGTGTACATTTCTTCATTCATGGAGGAGGGACCATTATTTAAATTTATATACAGTGGAAGCCACTGGAACCCCATGCTGATGATTAAACCTGATGGTCAGAGCCTCCAGATGTGCCAAACAGTCACCTTCTCAGGTCATCTGCCAACAGAGACACCACATGGGAGTTGACTCCACAGGACTGTTAGTCCCGCTGGGTCAGGGGGACAGCAGAGACCAGCCCCTCTTTTCTCCTCAAGTCCTGGGAAACTTAGCTCCTGTACCCTGGACCCCACCCACCACCCTGTTGATCAAAGAAATTACTTCTGTCAGGCTCTTGCCTGTAATTAGTTACAGGGCCTTGAGAACTATACAGAGATTCAGCTCATACACTTCAGTTAAGGGTAGTGTCCCTCCTTCCAGACATCCAACTCCCTGTGGTAAACCTGCACATGGCAGACTATCAGATCCTCAGCTTGCCTCCCACTTCCACTTGAGTCTTGTTCCTAAGGCTGGGAACTTGGAGAGACCCCTTGTAGAAACAAGTACCACCCATTCTTCACCAGGGGTTCTGGGGCTCAGGGTGTCCTGTCCAAAATTCTGAGGCTGGGTAAGGTCTTGGGAAATAGAGAACGTACTTAAAATATCCCCAGTGTTACTCTGTTATGTGTTGTGGGTCATCATGCTCCATGACATGATCACCCTGTTTGGAAATTTACATGTCCCCTTAGTCAATGAAAGCAGAGCCTGTGTGCACCTATGGGTTGGCTGGTGGACTGTGATGATTAAGTCACAGAGCAGGGGTGGGAGGCCGTGTTGTATCTTAGGCAATTTTAGCAATCTTTAGATTGATTCCTATGGTAATCAAATTGTAAATTTATAGCTTTGTGAGACAGCCCAGATCAGGGTTGAGTCCTCTCATTCAGGTTCAGGAACCCCTTAGGTAGGGCTGCAATTAATATAAGAAATCCCTTAAAAACAAACTTCATGAGAAGAGGGAAAGGCTTGCCATTTGGGGCTTTTTCATTACTATCAGGTTTGCCTTTCTTAGCCTTTGCTGTGGTGGGAGAATAGAGCATGTCACATACATATACTTCCTTAATTGTAAAAAGTAAATACCCTAAAATGTGTTTTTAAAATTGTGATTATGTTACAGTGGTTTCTATGTACCATAGATTAGATTTTTATTAAGGGTTTTATTAAATAACTGGTGTTTCACCAACATCTAATTAAATTTTCTATCTAAATTGAACAGAAAATTATGGGGGAAAAGAAAGCATTTGTAGCAGACTTTATTACAGATAAGGCTATTATTTGTTCATCTTAAGAATTTGAGATCAAATTTACAAGCAGCATCCTCATCAGATTACTTTTCTGGGCTGCTGAGCCCCGGCCCCTTGAAAGCAGCCCATTATCTCCCCTCCCCCCTTTTTATTACAGTGTCCTGGTTGCTGGCAACATGCCCGCTGTTTAAGGTTACTTTCATTAATTAACCGAAAGTTAATTTCTTTGCAAGCGAAATCTCTGATCTCATTATGTTGTCTTTAAAGCTGAAAGCTTCAGGTTTTCTGGTCTCCTTTGATGACACAATAAAAAGCATGCTCTTTATCTTAAGGGAAACTGTCTCCAGGGTTTAATTTAATAGTCCTTGAAATAGTTACAGCACAGCCAGGCAGACTGCAATAATATGCCAGTTCAAGAAAACCTTAGCTCTGTCATGGTTCGAGAACCCAAGGACTGGCACAGATGTGGCCTACAGCAGATCCAGTCCCAAATAGGAAGCCTCTCTACCCATCTCTCCATGGATACCTTCCCCCTTGTAGAGCTAATGGGAGGAGGAAACAGGCACCAAGGGCTGTGTGCCTCCAGTGTGCCACAGCCCAACCCTCCTGCTTTCCCGGTTCCTGAAGGGTCACGGGTTGGCATTTTGTCTGTCCACCACCTACCTGCCTGTTTTGCATTTGGCAAGCAACAGCTTTCATCACTGAGTGCCACCAAGAGTCTGAAGCCTGCTGTATCCAACCAGTATTCTAGTCTCATTCTTCCCTTGCTGTGTTCCATTCTTGTCCTTGGGTGTGTTAACTTCTCTGAGTAACAGTTTATTCATCAGAAAATTCGAGGGATTATATAGACAACTGAGATTAAATAAGGTAGCCAGTCTATATGGGTTCTTGATAGCTCTGTTCTAGTCTTCAGTAATAAATATGTTGTGCAGAGGGGGGTTCATCCTGGTATTTGGGCTCACCTGTATCCAGAGTGCTGCCCCCAAAGGAGCAGTCTGGGGAAGTGGGCACATTCTGGGAAGCATGCTCAGTGTGGAGCTGATACATTGTACTTTGCGTGGCCCCAAAGGGTCTTTAAAGCCAGGGACATGAACAGTGTATTCTCCTTGTCTCCCTGAGTTAGCATCATTCTCGGTGATAAAATCTTGTTGCTTTCTGGAGCATTAAATTCAGTGAGTAGAGAGCGGCCAAAATGTCTTTTCAGAACCACCAGGTGTAGGTCACACCAAAGGGACAGAACTCTTCAGGTGGCTCAACTCTCAGGAGCAATCTGGGAACATGAAGAAGCCATTTGTGTCCCATTGAGTGTAGTGACATTGCACACACAGCTGAGATTTACAGAGTGGGGCTGGGGGCTGCTGAGAGGGGGTAATGGGATGGTCCACATGCCGCTTCGGAGCCCTGGGAGACTGGGCCTGTGTGATTTGCATATGTTCCCTGTACCAGTTCTTGAGGAAGGATGCTGTTGACTCAACTCAAGCAGGGAGAAATCACTTAGGCAGAAAATCCTAGGCCTTGGGAAGAAAAGTCAAGTGCCCCCTGGGCCCTTGGCAGAAGTCAAAGGTCCAAAGTAATGTATTGGCAAATATCCCGTCTGCTTTGACTGACTCACCGCTGCCCCATGCTTTTAGGCAGAAATATTGTCAATGCTATTGATTAGTCGATTTGATAATCCAGTGGGCTCCCTGATGTGTTATGTTTCCTACTTTGAGGTGGCTGTAAATGTAGGCAGGGCATACACTTCTGTTGGGAGAACTCTAGGTGGTCCTCGCTGGGCTGTGCTTCTATTGCAGACTGCTGCAGCATGACAGCTCCAATTATTCCTTTGGCTGTCACACTTAACCCTTTTCAGAATGATGCTCTCCTGGCTAACCATTGTTTACAGCTTTATTTAGATTTGGAGAAGTACTGGGACTCTGGGTGTGCTGGCATGCATAGACTTTATTAATTTACTGTTCTGCCAGGAGCTCCCACCCTCCTTTCTCTGGAGCTTTGCTTCGTTTGCTTGCATATGCTGGCAGAAATTACATTTCCTTTTTCCTTGGCTGTTCCCAGACTTTAAACATGCTCAGCCATGTCTGCCCCTTTAGAAGTATATGGCCACTTTATGAAAGGCATATAATTCATGATGTGTTGAGATCAGAGAAAGGCTGGTCTTAGGCCAGCATGATATTTTCCTATAAGGAGCTCAGTGATGGCACACAAGCACTGGAGCCCATTGCCACATGGGTTAGGAAGACAGAAGCACCCCGTCTTATCTTTCTCAAGATTTTATTTATCTGGGGTTAGATAGATGGCTCAGTGGTCACAAGCACTGACTGTTCTTCCAGAGGACCCAGTTTCAATTCCCAGCACCCACACGGCAGTTCATAACTCCCCATAACTCCAGTTCCAGAGGACTCAACATCC